CACACGTTTCTGTGTCCCCGTCGTCGCGGTGTTGTGAATAAACGTGGCTGTGATGTGCGCGGCCCCCCCTCCACGCGGGTCGGGGGAGGAAGATCGGCCTCTGCTTCAGCATAAAAAAAGGGGGGGGGGAGGCACAAGCTCCTTCCCCCCCATCTTTACCCCCCTGGGGGTTGGAGGGCTCAGCCAGGCCAGGTTGGGACAGGGGGCCACTGTGCCCCCCCCCCTGCCCCTAGCCCCATCTCGCTCCTCCACCTTTGTCGGTGGCCCAGGGAACTTTGGGGTGGCCCAAGACTACTGTGGGGTACCCCAGGGTGAGTGGGGACAGGTAGGGTGGCAGAGGGACCCCCCAGGAGTGGGCTGGGGGGTGAATTGGGGGACTCATGGGACCCCGAGAGTGGCCCAAGGGACCCTCAGGGTGGCACAGGGACCCCTGGGGTTCAGTGGGGAGCTTGGGGGTGGCCCAGGAGGCAGAGGGACCCCCAGGAATGGGCTGGGGGTGAAGGGGGGCTCCTGGGGCCCCCAAGAGTGGCCCAAGGGGTGGCATGGGGACTCCTGGAATTCAGTGGGGAGCTTGGGGGTGGCCCAAAGGGACCCCCCCAGCATAGGATGAGGGACCCCGAGGGTCGCCCAGGTGGCAGAAGGACCCCCAGGAATGGGCTGGGGGTGAACTGGGGGACCCCAAGGGTGGTCCAGGAAGCAGAGGGACCACCCGGGGAGCTGTGGGGGTGAAGTTTTGGTGCAAAGGAGCCCTGTGGGTGTCACCAGAGTTTATTGTCACTGGAAAGGGGGGGGGGGGTCACCCCTCAGTCCTGCCCCAGGCGCTTGATGTCGGGGTTGGGGTATTCGGGGTTCTCGATGGCTCCCGGCCCGAATTTCAGCTCGAGGAAGGCGCGGGCGTTGTTGGGGGCCATGGCGGTGAAACCGGCGAAGGCCATGGGTACCCGGGGCAGGAGGAAGCTTTCGGGGAACTCCACGTCCTGGGGGTGGCCCAGCCAGGTGTCCTTGGTCATCACCCCCCCGCGGGGGTAGAAGGGCCACAGGTCCACGTGTAGCCGGTTGCTCCGGCTGTAGTGGACGCGGTAAAAGTCTCCCTCCGTCGCCTTCTCCCACAGGAATCCCTCGGTGTCCTCCACTGCCTCCCCCGCCGCCGCCGCCGCCAGCCACCGGCACTTCCCCACGTCCTCGCGGTAAATCCCCAAATCCACGTCGTAATCCCAAGGGATGATGTCCCCCGAGCGGGCGGCTCCCAGTAAGGACCCCCCTTCTAACCAGTACCGTACCCCGGCGGCTTCCAGCGCCCCGGCCACGTGCCGGGCCGTTTCCCGCAGGGCACGCAGGCAACACGGGGGGGTCCAGCGCCCCGCCAGTAGGTACTGGGGGGTCCGGGTGTGCACGGTGCCGAAACACCGCGCCGTCTCCTTGCTGCAGCCGTACCAGCGCTCCCCGCCGTCCTCCAGCACCTCCCGTTTGACCCCCAGATCCCTCATCAGCTGCCGCCGCCGGTTTTCCCCCAGCTTCTCGGCTTTCCAGCGGCCGTGGGGGGAGACGGGGGGCAGGTGGGGGGCCGGGAAAGCCGCCGGCACCACCCGTAACCCCCAGCCCCTCAAGGCCGCCTGGATGAAGATGGCGGCGGGCACCGGCCGCGCCAAGGGGAAAGGCAGAGCCAAGAGGTCGCGGGTGCGGAGCAGCAGCACCGCCGGCCCCTCCACGGCCCCGCAGGCCCCCGGTTCCCCGGGGGGGCCATACCGCGCCGTCCAGCTCCTGGGTTCCACCCGCAGCTCCAGGCACCGCGGCGGCAGCCCCGTCCCCACCGGTGCCACGGCCAAGCGGGCATGGCCGGCTCCTTCCTCCTCCAGGGCGTCCCGCATGCGCTCCAGCAGCCCTGGCACGGCGCGGGTGCCGTCGGGGACCAGAGCCACGTGGAGGGTGCGGAGGTGGGACTCGGGGTGCACGGGGGGGCGGTGGGCTACGGGGCGTAAGGGCAGCAGCCGGACCCCCGGCGGTAACGGTACCGGGGGGTACGGGGCCTCTTCGGCCGCCACCAGCACCGGGACGGGCAAAGAGGCGAAGGAGCGCGCCGTCCCCACCAGGTCGTTCTCAAAGTCCTCGAAGTCCCGGAGGAGGACGGTGACGCCGGGGACCCCCCGGGGAAGGCGGCAAGAAGGGGGTGACCCCCCTGCTCCCCGCCACCCCGGCCCCCGCCAGACACAGAAGAGGAGGAGGAGGTTGAGGACGATGGCCCCCCCCAAGGTGGCCTGGCACAGCGTCACCCGCATGGTAGGGCTTGGGGAGGTGGGGAGGGGGGGCTCCTAATTAGCCTCCCTCGCTAATTAATTAATGAAACGCCCCCCCTCCCCCCGGCTTTCCTCCCCGGTGGGGTCCTACCAGTGCCGTGAGTGGGACGGTCTCAGCGGGGGCTCGGCAGCAGTGCTGTGGGGAGGGGGGGGAAAAAAGAGGTGTTAATGGGGGAATGTGTTAACGAGGGGGCTGATTAACGAGGGGGAGTCATTAATGGGGAGAGCTGTTAATGAATCAGGGGGATCCCCTCCCCCCCCTTCCCCCCCCCAAGCTGAGCCTGGAGCGATGGGGAATGGGTTGCCGTGGCAACTCCATCCCTGGTCACTATAGCAACGGGATGAAGGGGGGGCTTTATGCCCCTCCCCATCTTTAAGGGCAGCCCCTATAGATATAGGTATATATGTGCGTTGCAGGTGCCGCTGTGGGCACCTATAGGTGCCACAACTATAAACAGGGCAGGCACCTATAGATGCGCAGTGCCCATGGGTGTGCCCAGATATAGGCACCTGTGCATATGTGCTTCTCTGCACCCCTATAGGTGCCTCTCTGCACCCCTATAGATGCCCCTATGCAGCCCTCAGACACCCGTATGCATCCCCCTACATACTTCTATACGTCCCCGTGTACCCCCCGACACCTCCTGCACCCACACGTACACCCTGGGTGCCCCTACGCGCCCTGCCCCCATCCCCAATATACCCCTATAGCATCCATACCCCCCTGTACCCCTACAGGCCCCCATACATCCCCCCTAATGCCACACATATGTCCCCATGCTCCCCTAGAGCTCCTCGCACCCCCACAAGCCCCCAGTGCACCTCCACCCTATAGCCCCCATATGTGCCCCTGCCAAGTCCCCTATAGCCTGTGCCCCTGTCCCCTATAGCTCCCTTTGAGACCCACACCAGCCTGCCCAAAGCCCCCATAGCCCCATACCCTATATTCTCCCCATGGCACCCTCTACCGCTTTCCCTCTATACTCCATTCCCTATAGGCTCTATACCCCTCTCCCCTAGGTCCTCCATCCCCTATAGTCCTCCCATATCCCCCATGCCCTATAGGTCCCATCCCAAACAGCCTCCCCATCCCCTCCTATCACCCCTCATCTATAACCCCTCCCCCTCCATTCCCTATAGCCCCCCTTCT